AAGGGTTTCTTACGCTGTATGCTACCGGAGAAGTATGTCAGGAAGCTCTTGGACAACTCCCCAAAGTTTTGGATCGACCCATCAGGGATGGTGTTGAACCAGTCTTGGGCCGCTCCATCCAGGGTGGACAAGAACGCTCGGCACATGATGGCGTCCCCTGCCCCGATCATTACCATAGCAGCCTTGTACCTCGTCATGTGGACTCGTGGGTCAGTGACCCCCGTGTACTCCTTGATGGCGGGCAACCTAAAGTCCCTCGGCAAAGGTACGTCCATGATGCTTGGGGAGAATGGTGCTGCCATCCGTACCTCGGGTTCCGGCGACTGCTCCCGTGCCTCCACCCTTCTTGCTAACTCCTCGATTCTTCTCTGCAGCCTCTCGACCAGGGCCGACTCATCAGGGTGCCGGCGCGGGGCCGGCTGCCGCTCCTCCAAGTGTCGGTGTGGAACCCGCTCATCAACGCGTCGCTTCCCCGCCGAGTGCCGTCGCGGAGCCGGCTCTTCGACGCGTCGCTCCTCCAAGTGTCGACGTAAGGCCGACTCATCAACGTGTTGGCGTGGGGTCGGCTCCCGAGACTCGCCCACCTCCTCTGTGGGTGATTTCTCGGCTTCTCTGTTTTCGTGTTGGCGAGGACCTCTGGTAGAGGATCCCTCGGCCCGTGATCCTAATCTTTGCCGCACGGGCGCCCTTTGTCCCAATTGTTCTGGTGCAGATTGGGAAGCACCTGGTTGTCGTCTGGCCGGTCCACTTCTTTGGGTCTCCACCCTTATTTCCTGGGGCCGCGGCGGGAGCACTTAGCCTTGCAGTCCCACCGCCACCTGATTTAGCGCCGTCGTCACTGCTTGCTGAATGACATCGGCGATCGCCTGGAGGTTCACGGCTTGGTCCACCCCTCCATTGTTGAGTTGGTCTCGAAGGTCCCCGGGCCTCCCATTGTTGAGCTGTTCTTGGAGGTCCCCTCCACGATTGTTAACCATGGACAAAAATAAGGTTAGAATAAAGTAGGAATTAAAATTATATTGTTTGGTAGAAATGAATAGAATTAATAGAAATTGAAACGAAAGAAGTGATATAAAGACTAAAATGTCCTTGTGTAATAATAATAATAATAATAATAATAATAATAATAATAATAATAATAATAATAATAATAATAATAATAATAATAATAATTATTATTATTATTATTATTATTATTATTATTATTATTATTATTGGAGGCAAATTTGTCAACACATATTTTTTTCTTTTCCATGAGTTGTGGAATTGCATTTTTTTTTTCCCGGGGGACACATAGGAGTTCCAACTCAATGGTTTGAGGGAATTGCAATGCCCTCTGACGGTAATAATGTTACCGGAAATATAATATAAGAGTAACGAATAGTTGTATTGCTTTTGTCTCAGTATAGAAAGTACAGTGTGCCCCCCGCTCAGCTGAGGGAAGTTCTATTTATGCTAGGTCCTAACGGTAACAACATGAAGAGACATCCTTGGGGAGCTGAGCTAACGGCAAGAATATGAAGAGTCATGAATGAGGCGTTGAGGCTTTAACTCTCTCTCATCAATGGTGGCATCAAAGGTGGCTTCAATGACAATAAAGGTGACACCTGTTGGAATTCTAACCGTTGGAGTTCTGCCCGTTGAGTTCCCATGTGATGCTGAGTCAGATGCTCATTTGTGATCCGGGTCGGGTGCCAGCCCTATTATCCTGTCACCCTCCAACCAAGCAATGAAATTTCGATTGTTGTGGAATAGCAAAGGAATGAAATTCATGCGTACCGAACACTTTGTTAATTAGTCTTTGACTATTTATTGTGTCATAAGTTTGAACCCCAAATTAAAACGCTCATTATCACTTTTGTCTTGAGGACTAGTAGAAGAGATAAATCACAGGCTGTGTCTCAACTTTTTATTAACTTAGTTTGGATTGATTGATCAGTTGAGTTGTACGACTTTGACTTCTGTGTCACTATCATATTTAGTCATACTTTTTTATTTTTAAAATTTTATCACATTATGACTTTAATTTACTTGGCACAACCAATCCTTCGTTTACATTTATATTATTCCATTGTTTATAAAGATAACTAACATATAATATTATCGTTCAATTAAAAGAATTTGTGAAAGAGTGAGATAAATTGCATATTGAGGTAATAGAGTTGAAAAATGAAATATATGTTAACATTCTTTGTTAATAGTGGAATTGTTAGGACTCTTGTATTAGTAGTTGGCTAGGACTCTTGACTTATCTCCTTATATTGTTATTGTTCAGACTATTATTGTTTTACGTTGAATATACAATCCTCATCTGGTACCAGTATCCAGGGATTCTTATTTTCATGGCAACCTTGGGAGATAACAATGGCGGTTCTGTTCGTGATTCGTCTGAACGGACTGTGTCCGAGGTTGCCCCCACTCCCGTTTACCCGAATACTAGTTTGTCCTCCGCCCATCACTTCGTGTCTATCAAACTTACCGCCCACAATTATTTGTTTTGGCGTACTTAGATGTTGCCATTCTTAGAAGGCCAAGGGTTGCTTGGTTTTGTTGATGGCACACTGCCATGTCCGACGGCAGCACTGCCGTCGTCCGTCCCGGTGGAGTCGACGGCGGACAGTGGTGGTCGGCCGTCTGATCTGGCTTCGCTGCAGCAGCAATGGTGCCGGCAGGACAAGGCTGTTCTGTCTCTATTGATTTCATCCTTGTCCGACGAGATGCTACCTATGGCGATCGGGCGCTCCACGTCGCGGCTTCTGTGGTCGGCGATCGAGCAGGAGCTTGGCTCGGCGACACGTTCCCGGGCTTTGAGGCTTCTCGGCGAGCTGCAGGGGCTGTCCCAAGGGGCGTCGTCCGTCTCGGATTACTTGAGTCGGGCGAGAGTTCTGGTTGAGGATTTGGCGCTGGCCGGCCGGGTTATTACGCTTGATGATCAGAATCTCTACGTTTTTCGTGGCTTACGACCGGAGCTCCGTCCTCTTGTTGCACCACTGACGCGTGGCTCTCCGGTAACCTTAACTGAGCTTTCTGATTATTTAACTTCACAGGAGTATATTTGTGCGCCGGGTGGTGGTGATGCTGCTGCCCCGACCGCTATGGCAGCGTCGCGTGGCCGAGGAGGAGGCCGCGGTGGCGGCCGGTCTTATCGTGGAGGCTGGGGCAGTGGCGGTGGAAGCTCGGGCAGTGGCGGCTCGGGCGGTGGAGGCTTGGGTCGTGGCCGAGGTGGCCGGGGTCGTGGCCGTGGGCGGTCGGACGTCCGGTGTCAGATTTGCGAGAAGTTTGGACACTCGGCACGGGCTTGTTTCCAGCGATATTCTGAGACCACAGATCCTCAGGCGCATATGGTTGTTTCGGGTGGTGAGACCGGTGGTGTTGAGTCTCATCAGTGGTTTCCTGACACGGGAGCCACGAATCATGCTACTCCCGACTCCTCTATGTTGACTTCTTCGGCTCGTTATAATGGTCCGGACACCTTACGTGTGGGTAATGGTGCAGGTATGCCTATTTTTAGTGTTGGGTCTGCTTCAATAGCTTCTTCTTCTAGATCGTTTAGTTTAAATGATGTTCTGCATGTTCCTGGGTTGTCCTCTTCGTTGCTTTCTGTTCAGCGGTTTGCTAAAGATAACCGTGTCTTTTTTGAATTTCATCCTGACTGTTTTCTTGTGAAGGATCTCTTGACCAAGAAGGTGGTTTTTAAGGGGGGTACCTCTGGTGGCTTATATTCGTGGCCTGTGTCTTCGAGTCCGTCTGCTTTTGTTGCTGCGCGTGCGTCGTCCTCTACTTGGCACAAGCGGCTTGGTCATCCACACACACGGGTGTTGCGTCAGATATTGCAGACATCCGGTGTTAGTTCGTTTAATTCTAGTGATTTGTCTCGTTTGTGTTCTTCGTGTCAGTTAGGGAAGTCTTCCCGTTTTTCTTTACCTCGTGTTGAGACTAAAAGTACTCGAGTATTAGAACTTATATATACTGATATTTGGGGCCCGGCGCCTGTGTACTCTGTTAATGGTTTTCGCTATTTTGTTCTATTCGTGGATGATTTTACGCGTTATGTGTGGTTTTATCCTATGCGTGCGAAAACGGATATTTATTCTATATTTGAACGGTTTCGGTCACTAGTTGAGCGGTCATATTCCCACAAAATCGTGTCTATTCAGTCTGATCTAGGGGGAGAGTACAAAAAGCTCCACTCTACTTTCGAGTCGCTCGGTATTCGTCACAGGCAGTCCTGTGCGTATACTCATGAGCAGAATGGTCGGGTAGAACGCCGTCATCGGCATATAGTTGAAACTGGGTTGGCTTTGATGGCTCATGCGTCTATTCCCTCTCGTTTTTGGGATTATGCGTTTGAGACTGCAGTTTACTTGATTAACAAGATGCCGACTCGTGTGTTGAACGATGAGTCTCCTCATTTTCGGCTACATCGTTTGCCTCCCTCTTATTCTTTCTTGCGTGTTTTTGGCTGTCCGTGTTTTCCTTTGTTACGTCCCTATAATCGTAATAAATTGGAATATCGTTCGTCTCCCTGTGTTTTCCTAGGTTATCCTGACTCTTTTCGAGGCTATCGTTGTCTGAATCCTAACACTAATAAGGTCTTTATCTGTCGCCATGTGCGATTTGATGAGTCCGTGTTTCCTTTTGCTGGCTCTATTTCTTCGCAGGTGGTTTCTCGGCCCCCGGCTGCTCCTTGGGGTGTTGCTCCAGTTGTTTCTGTGCCTCCTCCTACTACCGAGGTGGTGGTTAGTGATTTTGAGAAACAGGTTGTGGATTCGGATCCGGTACCGGCTGACTCTGTGTCTAGTGAGCAGACAGTTTCTGTTCGTGGTAGGCCGGCTCGTGGTCTTCCTCGCCGTGGGACTAAGGTGGTTGGTCCTCGTTCTCATGCTATGGCCACACGAAGCCGGGGTCCATAGGAGCATGTGGCGTTGGTGTCTACTGTTGATCCACCTGAGCCCACGTGTTACTCCCAGGCAGTCAAGCATCCAGAGTGGCGTGAGGCCATGGATGCTGAGTTTAATGCTTTGCTTCAAAATCAGACCTGGCAGCTTGTTCCCTATACTCCAGGGATGAATGTTGTGGGCTGCAAGTGGGTATTCCGTGTCAAGAGGAATGCTGATGGATCTGTTGAGCGACACAAGGCCCGGATAGTTGCCAAGGGCTTTAATCAGATTGCGGGCAAGGATTTCTTTGAGACGTTCAGTCCGGTTGTTAAGCCCACCACGGTTCGTCTTTTGCTTTCTTTGGCCTATTCTCGTGATTGGTGTATTCGGCAGCTGGATGTGCACAACGCCTTCCTTAGTGGGCGTTTGGCTGAGACAGTGTACATGCGTCAGCCTCCGGGATACGAGGACAAGTCAGTTCCTACTCATGTTTGTCATCTGCAGTGCTCTTTGTATGGGCTTAAGCAAGCCCCGCGTGCATGGTTTACCCGAATACATAACTTTCTTCTTTCTGTTGGCTTTACTCCATCGAAGACTGACGTGTCTTTGTTCATTTATTATGATCATGGTGTGCAGCTTTATTTTCTGGTTTATGTCGATGACATCCTTGTCATGGGCTCGGATTCTAGCCGAGTTACTGGACTGGTGGATCAGCTTGCTCAGGAGTTTAAAATTCGAGATATGGGGCTCCCATCTTTTTTTCTAGGGATTGAGACTGTCTCTATTTCTGATGGTATTCTTTTGTCTCAGTGCCGTTATGTTCAGGATATTCTCAAGCGTGCAGGGATGGTTGACTGTAAGCCGGTTTCTACCCCGATCTCGGTTGCCCGCTCTGAGGACGGTGATGTTGCTCTCTTTGCTGATCCTACGCACTATCATGGGCTAGCTGGTGCTTTGCAGTACTTAACGGTGACTCGTCCTGATTTGTCTTTTGCAGTCAACCGGCTATGTCAACGCATGCAGGCTCCTTCTACTGCCGATTGGTCTATGATGAAGCGGGTGTTGCGTTATGTGAAAGGCACTCTTGGCATGGGGCTGTGTGTTCGGAAGTCTTTATCTACCTCGCTGCATGTGTTTTCTGATTCGGATTGGGCTGGTAGTCCGGATGATAGGAAGTCCACCAGTGGTTTTGCAATATTTTTGGGCTCTAATCTAATCTCGTGGTCGTGCCGGAAGCAACGCACTGTGGCGCGTTCTTCTACTGAGGCATAATATAAGGCCTTAGCTAATATGGCGGCTGAGGTGACGTGGCTTGTTTCTCTGCTTAAGGAAATCGGTTTCTCTCCAGCTTCTCCGCCTAGTCTATGGTGTGACAACTTGGGTGCTACGTACCTGTGTGCCAATCCGGTTTTCCATGCTCGGACTAAGCATGTGGAAATTGACTATCACTTTGTCCGAGACAAGGTCGCCAAAAAGGAAATTCAGGTTCACTTTATTTCCACGAAGGATCAGATTGCTGATATTTTTACCAAGCCACTTGCGTCGACTCGATTCTCTCTTCTTCGTGACAAGCTCAACATTTCGACTGCTCCACCTTGAGCTTGAGGGGGAGTGTTAGGACTCTTGTATTAGTAGTTGGCTAGGACTCTTTACTTATCTCCTTATATTGTTATTGTTCAGACTATTATTGTTTTACGTTGAATATACAATCCTCATCGGAATAACCGAAATTAAAATAAAATATTGATTGTGGTAAATAAATGAAAATATTGAGAATCAATGTGAAATTTGCTCATTGTAAATATATCCATTAAAAGTGTCTCCTACAGTTAGGGCTGGCTCAAGACACCCCGTGATCTGACCAAAAATAAAAATAAAAATCCATCGCATTAATTTTGTTGTTGTTTTTTTTTTTTTTTTTTTGTTTTTTTTTTGTTTTTTTAACAATAGGACATTCTTTTGCCCAGAATAGGACTCACTTTTATGTTATCATCACTATGGATACAATTATAGTCATCAATTACATATTCCCTATGTTCCATTAATTTACCTGTCTAATTTACTATTCATTACTCATTAGGGAAATTAACTTTTTCTTCTTTGCTTACTATTTTAGTATTTTTAATTATTTTTAAATTTAATTTTATGTGTTTAATAGTACTTTTAATGTAATTTCTAAATACATAAATTTAATATACTAATATTGAACTCAACATTGTAAAAATTTGAATTAAAAATAACTCTAGTCAAGTCTCATTAACCGAAACAGACATATAAAATAAGACGAAGGGAGTATTAAATAAATATCATGACTCTCTTTTTGATAATAAAGAAAACATGTAACTACTATTCGAGAATAATGTACAAAGGTAAACCATTATTTTATTTTCTATGTGGAGGATGATCAAAATATCTCTTACATCATTAAAGTAAAAGATAATTAATTAACACTAATTTGTTTTTTTTTTGTTTTTGTTTTGTTTTGTGTGTGTGTGTGTGTTTTTTTTTTTTTTTTTTTTTTTGAGTAAGAAAAGTAGAAAACAAAGCAAAATCAATAGCCAATAATTTTGGCTATTGACCCGGTACATAGCTTGATTCAATGTGCGTTGATTTATGACTATCTTTCCAAGTTTCCCATTGGGTATACCCAACAGTCCAACGGTACAGAAGTATATAAAACGAAAGTGTAAATGTGCATGTAATGCTATTCCCCCACCTATATTTTTTCTCCAAATTTCACCTCCTTGACTTGATAATATTTGATTAACTATTTTTTTTTTTTTTTTGAGGAGGGCAAAACCCCAATTAGTCATCTCTATAAATAGTATATGAGCTTGAGTGATCCCAAGAATATCCTCATTTAACATCCCTAGAACATCATTCATTGATTGGTTAATCACACTCATACCACGAACATGAGCTAAGGCTTGTTAATTAATTATGACATCCTCAATAGTGAGGCTTTTGGATTGTTTTTTAAGGTGTCAACTAGGAAAGAGGTAAGGAAAGAGAAGAAGAAGAAAATAAAAAACTACAATCTGACAGCAAGTATAACGCGCGCTGCCAACTCTCTCTAACTTTTCTCTCTCCTAGGTGGGTCCACAAAATATCTCACTTGCAGGAGGACCCCATTTCTTCTCTTTCTTCCCTCTCTCACCTCCACATCACTCACTTTGCCAAAAAAAAAAAAAGGTCCAAAATCCACTAATGTGGATGACCTTAGCCAAACAATCAGTCACTCGATTCTGTTCCCTGAATATCCAATGAATGGAAGTCACATTGGCAGGGGAAATTCAAGAACTCGGTTCTGTTCCCTGAATATCCAATGAATGGAAGTCACATTGACAGGGGAAATTCAGGAGGGAAAAAAGAATTTACCAACACGGAAATGGTAAATGTATTTTTGAGGAGTAAAACACTTGTTATATGTATAATTTTAGGAGCGTTATGCTGTGGAACCGTGCCCACCTTGCAAGCTGAACACGGTTGTAGATTTATAATTTTTATACTGTAGATTCATAATTTCTAAACCGTAGATTCATAATTTAAATACAGTAGATTCATAATTTCTATACAGTATATTCATAATTTCTATACTGCAGATTCATAATACCTGTACTGTAAATTTATAATTTATGTATTATAGATTTATAATTTCTAACTGTATAGTTATCAAATTATGAACATATAGTTGTGTGATTTGTGAATACAAAGTTCAACAATTAGATATATGAACATCGAAAATTATGAACATATAACTCTATAATTATGAACATATTTTTATAAAATTATGAACATATAGCTCTATCACATGTTCACAAACTTAATACTGTAGATTCAGAACTTTTATATTGTAGATTCATAATTTAAATACAGTAGTTTCATAATTTATAAACTGTGTGATTGCGAAGAGAGAAACGCCATTAACGACAAGTGAAAAATAAATATTTTTTTTAATAATTAGAACGGTGCCGTTGTGGAACTATGCCCACCTTGCAAGGTGAGTACCTGTCCACGGCATAGTTTGCGATAATTTTATTGGTAGAATAAAAGAATATAAATATAAATTATGACATCTTAACTATAATAAAGCTATATGGTTTGGGAAGTAATTAATGTTACAATTATTATTTTGGTGAATAATTATTGTTATAATTATTATCTCTATCCTTATTATTATTATTAAATAGCCACAACATCCTTTACTATATATATATATATATATATATATATATATATATATATATATATATATATATATATATATATATATATATATATATATATATATATATATATATATTTATATATATATATATATATATATATATATTTATATATATATATATATAAAGCACAACATTTGAAAAATAAAATAGCTATTTTTTTCTCCCCCATAACAAAGGATTACATTTATTTTAAATTTACTCATACAAAATTTGAAATTTGCTTTCTAAATGTAATTATCTTAGTTATTATTCGTATTGTGAAAATTATAATATAGATGAAATACAATTAAGAATAAATCAATGTAATTATGTAAATTCTCTCTATAAATTTATTTGAATATGTACATAATTAGAGATTATATTAACCATACAAAATTTTAATTTTAATTGTAATTTTGTATTCTATAAAAATAATAAATACTTGACCGATGGAAGCTCAAAAATATTATTATTTTAAACAATTTAAAATAATTTTTTATTTTTTATTTATATTTATAATAACATCATTTTTTTTTCGTGCATTGCGTGGGTGAATTACTAGTTGAAATTAAATTAGAGAGTAAAAATGGGTAAAATTTAAAAAGTTAAGAGCAGAGTCTATCTAGGAAAGTTAAAATGTATGTGCAGTAATACTCGTTTTAAAGGATAGTTTACTTTTTTTTTTTTTTTTTTTTTTTTTTTCATCTTTCACATAATCAATGTAGGTTATATGGTGGGAGTAATACTGTCTATGAGTCTGTAAGGAACCATTTCTTAAAGATCATTAGTTAATCACTATCATTACCTAGGAGGCTAGGATTGATGCTTCTAATTAATAAATAATTTGTTGAACTTTGTAATAAATTGTAATGAACATTATTTCCTTTAATTATTTGCAAATACAGCCAAAAGTTTGGGAACAATGATGAACTTCTTGATTTGAGTCGGTTAACTATGAATAATTTAAGCTCGTTTACTTTTTTGTGATCTTTTATTGACTGAGATTACAAGACGAATTTCATCAAGAAAACATCTTCAAATTAAATAACAATTACGGAATTTCCTTTCACCAAAAAAAAAAAAAAAAATTACGGGATTTCCCATAAATCAAATTATATATATCCTGGCTCCAACCTTAAACTTCTGTAAACTATACAGTTAGAAGGAAAAAAAAAACATTTTCTAGGTCACAAATTAAGGAAGATCTAGTAAAAAATGTGACAACTTCGATCTGATTCGTTAATTATCAAACCAGCATTCAACGCTCATTGAATAAATTTAATGTACTGTTCAACCCTTCTAGAGGTACTTTGTTTAATTTATAATAATTTCGTTGACTAGGGTTTATAAAGGGGGTTTTATTTATTATATTACTCAATTTTTAATTGAAAGACGTATGCAATTGCATGTAATATTACGACAAGGAAGTAGAATAATATCCGCTTACAATAATTTTGTATCTACTTATTTGACTTGATATCATTTTATGTTTATCGGTCACATGTGAATTTTATCAATTTTCATGCACATGCATGTGATCGAGTTTGGTGTTTTAACTCGTTACTATCTGACAGTGTGCATGCACTGGGTAAACTTCATCTTGTGATAAGGGAAATACATAGCCAATATCTGAGGGTGTGCACTGGGTAAACTTCGTCCTGTGGTCCTAGCTGACAAAGGACCATAAAGACAAACACATCTTACCTACTTCACAAGATACATGGATCAGAGTTTGTTATAACTACCTAAATTCGCTATATCAGCCCAAAATGTGTGGAAATTATCATTAGACGTGTGTCTATAGCATAATACACATCTTGTAACGACTAAAAGTCATTCTAATAAATAAATACAAACACAATATGTCTGATCAGACCTTTTGCTTAATCTGATATCAAATTGGAAAATATATGTGTTTCCCTATCTCAACTAATATATATATATATATATATATATATATATATATATATATATTTCATGCTTAACCGTAAAAGCAAAGATTGCGTCCAAGGATTTGCAAGTGCATTTTATTTCTACTAACAATTAACAAAGATGATATTAGAT